ACTCTTAATTTCTTTTGCAGGTCGAAGTGAGGGGGAACAACCAGTGGTACCTCGATAGCGGTTGTTCTAAGCACATGACAGGAGATGAATCCAGATTTCTCTCACTGACGGCCTATACAGGGGGAACAGTGACCTTTGGAGACAATAAGAAAGGCAACATTGTTGCTGTTGGCAAAGTAGGAAGGTCAAGTTCCCATGCAATTGACAATGTATTTTTAGTCGAGGGTTTGAAGCATAATCTACTCAGTATTTCTCAGTTTTGTGATAAAGGAAACTTTGTAAGCTTTTCTTCTGAAAAATGCAAAATCATCAACAATAACACTGGTAAAATCGTTTTGGAAGGAACTCGTAAAGGGAACACATATACCATGGACCTTAACAAAGTTCCAAAATACAATCTATCTTGTTTAAGTGTTATTGAGGATGATCCACTTCTATGGCATAAACGTTTTGGACATGCTAGTCTTTCATTGCTTGACAAATTAAGGTCAAAGGACTTGGTAATCGGATTACCTTCTATCAAATTCCTAAATGACAAAATTTGTGAAGCCTGCATCAAAGGAAAGCATGTTCGATCATCATTTAAATCAAAGAAAATGGTAAGCACCACAAAACCATTGGAACTCATTCATATGGATTTGTGTGGCCCCGTTAGAATTCAAAGTAGAAGTGGAAAAAGATATGTCTTAGTTCTTGTGGATGATTATTCTAGATTTACATGGGTCATATTCTTACATAGTAAAGATGAAACTTTTGATATGTTTATGACTTTCTTGAAAAAGGGCTTAATTAGGCTAGATTTTATTTCTACTGAATGTCAAATTGCTGATATATTAACTAAGCCTTTAAGCAGAGACAAGTTTGAAAAGATGCGTGTGGAATTGGGGATGCTACGGCTAAAGTGATTTTTGTTTGGAACCCCTAAGGTAAAATCGGATGTAACTAACAATGCTATGCTCAATCTTGTGTGCATAACACAGCTGAAATTACCCAGGGAAAAGATTTGTGAAGTATTGAAAAGTCACTTATACATACTTTTAATATGTTAAAAATATTGAGCCATGTTGTTTCAAGTTCCCTTTTCATCATTCTTTATTCTCTGTATTATGATCACGTAAATTATCATCATAATTTACAATCCATTTGCACTTACCATTTTTTTATATTGTTAATTTGTTTTCCTTCCTATTATTATCTTTTTTGCCTTCCTTATTTTTTTTATCTTTTATTCTTATCTTTTATTCATATTTTTATCTTTTTTTTTCCTCCTTATTTTCCTTTGTTCAGTTCTGCTTTTATTTGCTACGTAAGATAAGAAGCATGTATATCAACTTCTTAACTTACGATTTTATTTTATCAACATTGAATTAGATGAGTGCAATTATTTCACCAAATTAAATCCTACTACCTCTAAAACTACCCCACTACCTCACAGTTTAAACCGTCACTTTTCTTTCTCACTCCTCCCCATTAAACTCTTTTTCTTCTTTTCACTCCACCTTCACCTATCAAATCAATTAAATTCCCCATACACTCCCATAACCGGCCTCACTCTCTCTCCTTCCTATTCACACTATTCATCTTCTCCTTCCCTTCATTTTATCTTCAACACCATGAAAACCAACCGAAACACCACCCCAAAAACCCGATCACCACCATTCAAACCCTCCTCAAACACGGGGTCTCCACAACCGGTGCCAATTGCGGTGGTGCATCCATCTGCTCAGCCAAAGAGGAAGGCTAAGGCTGTGAAGGGCGGCGACAGGAAACGGCGCGCAACCACCAAATTCCCATCATGGAATTACACTCTCGGATATCACATCAACTATGATTGGTGTGTGGCGAGTAAGTTCACTGAATTTACTTCTTTAATTGATTATCAAAAATGGACTCACTTGTTCCAGAATTGTTCTCATTACCCTGTTTATCCTAAATTTATTTATGAGTTCAAAAATACCTTTCAATGTGATAATGGTGTGTGCTCGGCCGTAGTTAATGATATTCCAATTTCGTTTGATGCCAATTATCTTGGAAATCTATTTCAAGTTCCTGTTAAAGGCTATTGTTCTTATTTAAAGCACAAACAATCTGTAAACATTGGCCATAATGATGAATGCAAAATCCTTCAATTTATTGGAGGAAATCCGAAAGTGAAAACTACTCACCATCATGCCCTAACACCCCTTCATAAGCTACTGTTTACCTTCACCTGGAAGGGTATAGTACCCCGTTTACAAAAACGGAGTACCGTATCACTCTTGGATGCCTCCCTCATATTCTGTCTTGCATGCAAAATACAGATTAATTTCCCTGCTCTAATGATTGAACACTTGAATTTTTATGCTCAAAAGACCACAATTCCATATGGCTCTTTCCTTACTGTGTTGGTCAAATCTTTTGGTATTGATGTTGAATGTGAATCCCCAACATATCTCAAACCCGATAATATCCTCTCTGAACAATCATTACTTAGACTGAGTCTTAGGCTTACAAATGGCAAAGTATGTTTTGTGCCTCGGAATGGAGGGGAGAAAAAGAAAGGGAAAGGGAAAGAAGCTGAGGAAGAATGTGACGCAAGTGATGAGGAGGGCAGTGACCAGGGTAGTGAGGTTGCTAGTGAGGGTGCTACCACCTCCAGTGATTCTGAGGGAGATAAGGAAGAAGAAAAAAGTTCTAACGGAGAGAAAAACAAAGAAAAAATACTTGAGGGAGATGTGCAAGGAGAAAAACAGGAAGATTCTGAGGGGGAACATAAGGAAGTTTCTGAGGGGGAAGCTCGAAAATCTGACTCACATGAGGGGCAGGGAACTGATCAAAGTGAGGGGGAACATACCACAGACTCTGAGAGCACAGCTGGACCACCTGTCATTCCTGTGTTTACAGGGGGCCTTAGAAGAAGTAAGAGGAATGTGGTCAAGCCTGCCCTTTCTACTACACACCCTGTGACTGTAGAAACCATCAGCTCCTCAGACAAATCTGATCCCACCTTCAAACCTACCCAAGTCCCCTTTGCCATTGAACCCTCTTCTATTCCTGTCTCATCTACTAGGCAGCCTCCTCATTCACCTTCTCCTCCTCCATTTCAGCCTACTGGCTTTGCTGCTTTCTCTGGAACTCGTGTGTTTGTTTATGATTTTCAACAGGTTAAAGCAGATATGGAGAAGTTGACTACTCTGGTGAGCAAGAAACTGGAGGAAATGGCCTCGGAATTGCTTTCTCTTAAAGGCCAGGTGCAGGCTCTGGCAGAATCTCAAGCAACCGGATTTGCAGGCGTGGAGGCAAAGCTTGCACAGGCTGAAGGCAAGTTTAGTGAAGGCAACAAGGAGATCTTGGAAACTATCAACAAAGTAGCCTTTGGGGAAGTCGAGGAAGACTCTATTGATCCCACAAATCCAACCCTTGATCCTACCAATGCAGCCTCTTAAATCCTTGATTGCACTTATTCTAATTTCATATGTTGAACAATTTTATTTTGGTTTTGTTTAATCTCTCTGAACTTTGGTTTGTACGCCTTTATCCTTTGCTACATTCTCTATGTTCCTCTTCTATTTCCTAAATCGGAACTTGGCTCGTATTTTTCATATGATTGTGTGTGTTTGCTGATAATTTGGTACCTAACTTATTTTTGCCTTGCATTATTTGAGCTCACTATTCCCTACGTAGTCTAGTGGGAGTATAGCAAAATGTTTTTTTTCAATCTTTTGATAATGCCAAAAGGGGGAAAAGACAAACTTCATGGCGGCTAAAGTGTTTACCAAGGAACTCACACATCGAAGGTACAAACTTTTGCTAAGTTCAGTTTTTAAAGTCTTTGTTAATTTTTCTTTTGCTCAGTTTTTTTTTTAAAAAAAAAAAAAAAAAAAAAAAAAAAAAAAAAAAAAAAACTTTTTAATATTTTTCTAAGTTCTTTAATTGTTTTTTTTTTTGTTTTCATGCCTTACTTTAAATTTTTGTTGCATGCCTGGATGATTTTATTTACCTAAGTTTGTCAATGTTTGTCATCATCAAAAAGGGGGAATTTGTTGAGCCTTTTGGTTTTGATGGACAAATTGACAAACTCGACTAATGAATGTTTTGAGTCTTTGGTGAATAAAGGATTCAAGCAAAGTTCGTTCCGGAGTAGGAACTTGGATGCGGAGTAGCATTCTCTAAAAAGCCTCGTGCAAATCTCACGTTCTAGTTTTAATTGTGAGCACTCAATATTATAAAGTCGGAAAGGAACTCAATGACTTATGTTAAAAAGACTACTGGAATAAAAGTTAGTTTTAAAAGATAATTTCTTAAAGAAAAGATAATTTGTAAAAGTTTTAATAAAGATAATTATCGAAGATAATTATCTAGTTGTTTTAATAAATAATAAATTTATCTTTTCAAATAAAATCTTTTTAAACAAACTTTTGATAATCTTTTAAATAAAATATTTGATAAAGTTAGCAAGTGGTTTTTCTGTGTGAAAATCTTTTATACGGCTAATGGTTATCAAGTTGTTAGGATAGTGGTTTAATTAGATAAGGCTAGGAAACCTCTTCATGATCACAATCTGTCAAGATAACTCCACAAGTTGTTAGTGGGTTGTTGACATGTGGACGTGATTATGGTGGAGGTTAATGACTAAGCCTTCTCTATAAATACTCGTGCAAACTATCTCAGAAAAATATAACTCTTGAGCATAAAAATTCCAGTAGCCTTCTAATAACATAAAGAGAGTTATTATCCTTCTTATATTCTTGAGTGCAATAGGTATTTGTAATCACATATTGTATTCAAGTACTTAGGGGTTGGGATTGTGAGTTTGTAAAGTGAGGTCAAGGAAGCTTCGTTGCTGAAGGCTTCTGTGAGAGTTGGGAACAAGTTCCTAGTTTGTGGAACTTGTTAACGGGTTTGAATCTTCACTTGTAAAGAGTTTGATTACATAGTGGAAATTTAGAAAAGCCTATATCTTCTCTCGTCATTATTTCATTTAGTTAAATTCCGCAAAAGTTTTTAGATTTCACCTCAAATACAATTCACCCCCCCTCTTGTATTAGCCAGTTAGACTTTCAGAGGCAAACACCAAAATGCTTATACAAGAATGTTTTATCATCATAAGGTAGCCTAGGAACAACATCATTGCAGTAAACAACCCGAAAGTAGCTAATCTTAGGCTTATTAAGTCGTTCTTCCACGAACATCCCTAGTTTACCATCTCCGATCCTTGGCTGTCCAAAAGTGTACACACCCAACAAGCTCTCCATCATTTCAATCTCCTTGTGTAAGATCAACACCGTAACAAACAAGATTGCAAGAGCCCCACCTAGGCTATGTCCTGTGACAACAAATTTCGCGTTCTTATGCTGTTGTAATAATTCCTTGAGCTTGGTTTTGACAGCAATGTAGGCTGTTAACTCTGCCATATCCGGCATAGAAGCAACGTTGCTGTTCTTCTGTAGGAGGTTACGTCGGAATGTAGGGGTATCAGCTCGGTTGCCTAAACCTAAGGCTTCTAAGAAACCCATGTGAAGCTTTCCTAGCTCTGGGATCTCGTACCAAGAGTAATCAAAATCTGTGCTCCAATCATCAGCGTCGTAAGGTTCAGTGCCCCTGAAACTGATTAGTATGAAGTTAGCATCTTCTGGTTTGTCACATAGGATGAACACTTGGGTGGACTTCTTCTGCTGGTAATCTGTCAAAATAAAGAAAGATATATATATAATTTCTTGCAAGAAATGGATACATACATGGATTATAAATTTCACATATAGACTTTTTAATTAAATTGTTGACTAATGAACGATTAACTGTACTAATGGTCAAATTTTTACATTCACAAATGTGTCCAAAAATTAATTGAGTATCATGAGACTGAAGGAACATGAAGTTTTATTAGCTTAATTGAAAATAGTTGAATATCATGAAACTAGTTCATTGTGAATTAAATCTAGCTTTATACTGTTTTTTATTAGATACATCATTTTCTATAAATGGAGGTTTCAAACTTAAATGGATCACTTTCCCTTTTAATTAAAAAAAAGGAAGGAAGGAAGTACGAAGTACTATATGATGAACAACTTATTGGCTTAATTGCAATTAAACAAGTGACATTTTTAAATTAAACTTATTGGCCCGGTTTTAAAATGGGACCTGTATAAAGCACCTATCCCAAAACTTAATTTTGTAAATCTAAATAGCAAAGCGATATATATTTACCCAAAGCTTATAAATCATGCATAATAGTACTAAACAATACAGAATGAAGTGAAGATGGGTTCATTTACCATTCCAACCATCATAAAACTCCACAAAATGCATCTGCTTCAAAAATTAAAACGAAAATTAGTAACGAACTTACATTACTATGGAGTAAGGAACAAAGAATAAAGATGGAGATGTACACTTAAGTTTATCGTGTAATGGTATACTTCGTATATGATATTGTTTTAGCTAATATGAATGTCGACTACCTTAGTTGATACATATATGGGACGGCCACTGACTAAGTGGTAACCGAAATGTAGGATCATATCTCATCTAAATCATCATTTCCTTGTAGCAAGAAAGCCAATGCAACTATCCTAGTTCGAGAAAAAAAGAACACTTGCCTTCCAATGGTTAACTACAACCTCTTTGACCACACTAGCATTTTCATAAGCTAACTTTGATGCCATAACACAAAGGTCCATTAGTGATTTGTTCTCTATCTCTATTCTCGAATTACTTGATGATGATCCTTCTCCAAAATTATCTGTCTTGTTCAAGTCGATTCGCCCATCCAAATGTCCAATTGAGCTTACGAATGTCGTTGTGCCTCTTTCTGGAATCACCACCTTACCTGCATTTGCTTATAAACAAATTATTGTCGTGAATGTATGTAACACATTCATAAGATCACAACTTTTCATTAATAACGAACCAACAGCTGATTGTCAAATAAAATCAAACCAGACCATTTTATTGAGAAACATAATATACCTTGGAGAAAATTGGAGGCAAGCCGAAAGAGATTGCAATTAAGAGAAAGGAGATTAAGGGAGAAATCCACAAAATTACCAATTAATTCCAAGGGTTTACCAAATAATTTAATCAACCTTCTTACTAAAATTGATACAATTATCACCCATCTATTATCCTTCCCATCAAACAATAACCTCCACTCTTCTAAATCTAATTCTTCATAATCATCTTCTTGAATTACATCATCATCACAACAACTATTACTCAATATAAATTTGGATCCACTTTTAATATCTCCCTTTCTCCAAAACTTCCATAAATCCCTAATTCCAGCCTTTTCTGGCCGTACGATCATATACCTCCATTCATCTTCGCCGTTCATATCTTATCTTAATGATCCGATCTTCTTCTTCTTTTTTATTTTATTTTTTTGGGAAAAAAAGTGATATAATTGAATATATTTTGAGTAGTACTCCGTATATAATTAGTAGTGTATTATGCATGCATATATATGTATATTACACGAGGAGGGTCCCTTAACGTGCACGCATTGGATTGGCAAGGAAGTGAGGTGAAGATAGTAAAAAGGCTTCCATGAGCATTGTACATTTGTAATGTAAACATCTAAACCTGTCATTCTTTTTCTGTTCTTATCTGTTACTCGTAATTACTAAGAAATTTCTCGCTCCTTCCTTCTCCAAAGTAAATAAAAACATAAAAACAAAACAATTACTAGTGAAAAACTTAAATTATTGTCAATAGCTTTTATTTTCCTTACCTTTTAAAAAGTATAAGATAACTCTTATTAATAGTGTTTGGATAATTATATCTTCTAAAAATATTTATTTATTTAATTGCCCCGTTAATATTAATTAGCACTTTTTTAAACTCTTGAAAATAGTGTGCGGACATTTATATCCTTAAAAATATTTGTTTACATATTTTCCCTCATTAATGCTACTAACAACTAAAATTGTGACGTAAGGCCAAACTAAAAGAGCTTTCCAAATATTAGCTAGCTATAGCGCGCGCGTTAGCCACCCTAAGCTCTAAAAAAAATGCATTATTTAATTATTTCAATATTAAGGGTCAATGTCATGTCTGTGTTGGTCAACATGCTACGTCTAAGTGGAACAATTAGTAAAAAAACAGAGGAAGTGAGGTTCAACTTTGTACAATGGCAAATATACACTCCATTCCATGATAATTGATGCATTTTGACTTTTTTCACTATTTACATATTAATTTTGACTCTAGCTTTTAAGTATTGTAATGTATTACTGAAAAGCAATTACTATCATGTCAAATGTTTATAAATAGATATTCCGTATTAATTTGAAGTTTAATAATAATTAACTTTTTAATGATTTTTTTATTAATGTTTAATTACGTATAAATTGTCAAATTCATGCATCGACATGTAGGTCTAGTTTAACTATTTCAATTATTATGGAACATATGGAGTAGCAATATAGATTGTTGAAGCATGTATCTATTTAAAAACAATGGGTAGTGTGAATGTCTTTTAACTAGATATGGTAACTTTATTTTTTGAAAGTAACCATTATTAATTTATCATAGAATAATAGATGTTGTATATGACTGTTTAGCTTGTAATTATGATTTTTCTATTTATGTGAAAATCATAATCTATTAATGAAATTGCTTTGGAGTTTGGAGATGACATATACTCGCAATAATTTGTAACGGATTTATAACAATTATCTTTAATTTTGTAGTGGTGTTAAGAGTAGTGTTTGTCATAAAAAAAAAAAAAAAATTGTGTATTAGTGACAGATGTTGTTCGCTTAATAGTTACACTTTCATGTCATTACGTGTTTCCTTCGTGCGAAGTTGCTGATTGCTATATAAGGTAAGTTACTTAGTTGGACACGTGGAATTGCACATTATTGGACACACCCTTATTTGTAACTTCAAAGCATTGCATCGTGCCATCATGCATGAAAATTTCTCTGTTTTCTTATGTAGTAATCCTAATTAGGTTACTTGAGAAACATAAAGTTGTTCTACGATCGACTTCTTACATTGATAGAAGATTGTCGAAAGTCAAAACCGAAGAACCTCTTTAGCTGTCTTCCACGAACTGTGTCTATCTATTACATACTTCTAAGACTCATCTTGATCTCTTTACAAGATCCAATAGGATCGAACAGAGTTGACACGGGTTTCAAGTTGTGTTAGCTCTTTTATTTCTTTGAAGTTGACACGGATTGGTTTTGGATACTTTTCATATAACTTACTTCAACTATTTTTTTTTTATGTATATTAACATTTTACATAGTCATGTAAGCTATTATTAGAACCGTCCCAATATATATATTTTTTAAATATAATTTTTATTATAACTAGGATGGCTAACGTTTCCGCGTGCGATGCCTGCCATAGCTAGTAATATTCAGGAAGCTCTTTCGATTTGGCTTTACATCACAACTTAAGTTGTTAGTAGCATTAATGAGGGAAACTATGTAAAAAAATATTTTAAGGGGTATAAATGTCCGCACAAAAAGAGCTAATCAACATTATTGGGGGCAATTAAGTAAACAAAATATTTAAAGGGTATAATTGTCCAAGCGTTATTCATAAGAGTTAACTCATACTTTTTAAAAGGTAGGGATTCTTTTATCAACAATTGATTACGTTGATGTTTTTTTTTTTTTTGTAAAGGTAAGGAGAGGCCCTACGGGACCGGAACCTCTCACAGGTCAACCCGAACCAGATTAGCGGGCTAGATAATTTGGGAGTGGGGAGAAAGGGTAGATCCCCCACCCCAAATTGCCTCTAGTGGGGTTTAATCCCACAATTTTTTGATTGTAAGGTGACAAACCTTACCACTAAACCAAGTTTTGCTTGGTAGTTTTTTATTACGTTGATGTTTGGATCATACATTGGCAAATACGTCTGAGAAATTGTGTTACTACGTATTTAAAATGAAATGGAGGAATTACTTCGAATATTTTGTTGAAGGATTCTTGCATAACTATCACCTAATCATGATTCATGACATAATGCAACAAAACCATATAGAATGAGTTTTTGTTTGGCTAAGTACGGGTTTAACGAAATGGGCTTTTATTTTAGTACTCGCATATTACCATTCACTTGGGCCTTCAACGTAGCTTTATCACATGTTTGTTTGGTTATTTCTTTGTGTTAGTACAATCTTTTTTTTTTGTTGTTGAAGAGGTTTGCTACAACTCTACAAGTACAATTTTTTATTATCCATTTATCCCTACTCCCTTCATTAGTTCATTAGTACGAGTAAATATTTGTAACACTTGCTTTTTAAGTTCATTTTTAAAACACCTTTTTCTTTGGTACAAGATTTGATATTATTTTCCTCTTTCGTCAACCCCACTTGTACTAATTTTTATTTTGTTTCTCTTGCACAAAACATTAAAATCACCCTCATTAACTCTATTCGCATGTTAATTTGTTCATTTCATGTACTATCCACGAGCCTTTCTAAAACCACGAGTAAACACAAGTATTAGCCGAATATTAGAGATGAGAAAAATGATACAAACGTCTAGGAATAGAATGGTACGATTTAAAAAGGAATGTTTTCGATTATTAGCCCTTCATACAACCTTGAAAATTTCAAATCATAATAATCGTGTAGTTGACATAATTTCCTTTAGTCAAAATATACAACACAGTACAATTTCTATAATTAAACATGCAAGAGTTCTTAATCAAGAGCATATGTTTAAAACTTTTAATCAACTTCTAATCAATAACACAATTTTAATTAAATAAACGATAATAATACAATTATATTTGATAGGTAACCCAAGGAACGTCTACATTGACCAAACTGAATTAATGATGATGTGAAGTAATGTAATTAAGCATGTCATATTGTTACCAAAATTCTCTTTTCGCAAACTGCGTGGCCACCACTAAGTAGCCGTACCACTTTACATAGTACTACTGGAGAATGGAGATGCATGGACAAGAAAAGACGTGGCCATCGATTCAATAGTTTTTAGCAATGAATTACTTTTTGTACAGTGTGTACACAAATACAAATACTGGTCGGTTATCCTCGTAATTAAGAAACTTTTTCAAATAGGTACTAATTGCGTTGTGTAATCATGTTTATGTTTTGATTTGTCCTAATCATTAGCAATGAAAAAGCATTTCCACTATCTAATCAAGGAAGATGAATATTCTGTTCCTTGACGAGCAGGGAAATAGACCATCACTACCGGCATGACCGTTAAAACAATTATGGACATACATTTGCATTGACACTAACATGATATTATTTCAAACTTCGAGTGGGACCATGCAAAAATCAGTGGCGAACTATATGGCTAATCTTCTAAATAATCAATTGCTAATTGTAGATGCCTAGTTTAATACAGAGTAGTAAATTTCCAAATTTATACCACTATCATTTCAAAAAGTGTATTCCGAAATGTTTATTTATAATTTTAAGAACTGTAAGAGCAATTGAGTATTAACTTTTTTTTTTTCAACATGCGAGTATAAGTTAATAATAGTGCATCATTAATTTAACTCACTATTCATCCAGTTCATCGGTGGGAAAATTAGTTGTGGATGGAGTAGTATTACAAGTTACGGATAATCAGATAAATATCATAATTATGTGATTTGTGTGGGTTGTGGAGTCAAATAGTGGATGCAGCCATACATGTGAAACTCTAACTATTTCAAAACTGACTCAAATTAATGGGTGAAAGTTATTGTAATTTTAATCTAATCTAAACCAATTTAGTAATCCATATTGAATTCTTATTCTTAACAAATTGGACTGAACTCACTACTTTACTTTTAAGAAAATTGGATTAGATTTTTGAGTGTTTCAATAAAAAAGGGGGGGGGGGGGCAAATTGAAATTCAAATTGGACTAGACTCAAAATGCACAAAACGAATTTTATTTTTGATTGAATTGGATTCAATCTCAAATTTAAGTCGAAAATCAAACTTTCACCCTTACTCATTTTCCAAGTGCTAGCAACTATTATCTCAGCAAATTAATAGCTCCTAACACAAACACAATTGACAATACACAAGAAAAAACATTAGTTCCCTATTCCTCCCTAATCCCTTCTTATGATTCTAGACTAGATGCAACTCCCAAATTTGTTGCGAATGTTTTATTAATTCTTAATTAGATGGTGTTGTAAGCTATACACCTACTAATATTGGCCTTTCTAATACTAAAACCAAAAATGAAAGAAAAGGGAAACTCACCTACCATATGAAGCATATATATATGTTGTTCCAATCATATTTAAAGAAAGCTACGTGAGAGTTGAATATTTGTTTCCGCGTAGTCTTAATATCATGATTTACCCATTGAAATGATGGATTTGCGTAATCTTGTCTTGTTAATATATAATTGATTGTGAAATGGATGACCATATATAATGTACTCGTAGTCAATTAATGAATTAATTATGTACCTACCAAACTTAAAACACTTATATAAAACCTTAGTGTAAGAACATATACTTATTCTTTAATTGGCTTGGATAATCGTAATCATTTTATGTAATTAGCTAGCTGTACCTTAGTAATAACCTCAACTACTGATACAGATGCTTTATAATTATTCTTCAAAAAAAATTAAAATTATTATGCTTACACTTTACCGAACGTCTTTGACTTTGTTGATAGAAGAAAATGTTGCGACCACCGTATAAAGGAATATATGTAATATATAGGTAGGGAGATTATTCCACTAGGAGTGTAGGAAGTGAAAATGGTGAACTAAAAAGTTAAAATTACATAAAGTAAAAGTAAAAGTAAAAAAGTGAATTACACCTATGATTTACCACTTATTTGAAAATTTCTCCGATTTCATTATTATCATAAAAAAAATTGAAAAACCATCTTTATGAGTTTACAATACGCACTCACTCATAATTTCAACTGAATCAGACAAAGATGATATATTATACCCTTGCGCTTGATTCAATCAAAGGTACCATACTACCATATACCTTAGCTTGTCAAATTTACTTTTATAGTTTAGGCCTTGTTTAGTTCACCTTATTTTTGCTTATCTGAGCTTATCTGATCTGATTTGATCTTAATGTCTGATTTGACCAAACTTTGACCTTAAGTTACGATAATCTATAAGGAAAAAATGTATCAAGTGGGATCTTGTTAGATCGTAATAATGTGTATTTTATTAATATGTAATTTTCATAATTTTTTTCATTATGAAATTAAAGATATTTAGCGATAAAAAATTGCACATAAAACGATGATCTGATCTAAACTTATTTTTTTCTAATCTGATCTGATCTGATCTGAACTTATTTTTTCTGAAATAAAAATAAGTTGAACTAAACAAAGCCTTACTTATTATGTATGGTATTTTTTAGATAAGCTCATCTCGAGATTGGAGGATCAATGATCAATCCTCACTAATAAAGACTCATCTCTAGAAGTTTAGATTCCTTTATCCTCCCCTACTTTTAAGAGTTTTTGGCCTCATTGCCTATTAACTTAGACCAGATTATTGTGCGAGGTGCTGGTCCGATATGATGCCTTCTTACTAAATACTTTGTATATTTTAGGTATTGTATAAGGTATAATTTATTATTAGGGTGAAAACAAAAAATCCACAATTTATACTAGGAATCAAAAGATTGTTTCATAATCTATACATATATTTGGCAATTTCTATTCGATCTGTGCACTTATGTTTTCTTGCAAAAGTAAATAAACCAATATACTACTGAGTACTAAACTAAGAAACCCAGAAAATTGAGATCTATGATCTGATCTCTACCTACCACAGATAAAATCTTAGAAGGCAACATACCAAAAGAATTTAGCCAAATAAAATAGAGCATAAGTGAAGTAAAAGAAGGTGATTATTAACTAAGGAAAGTATCCCACTTGTCATCCAACAAACAATTCCTTAGATTTCCCTACATTTTATTTTCTTTTTTTTAATTGCTTTTTAATAATGCTCAGTATTAATACTAATTAAATTCATTAAAGTTCTTACTAGTAGTAATTATGCTCTGAAATGACAGTGTAATCTCATTAATTAGTGCCAAAATTAAAGATTAGGGTATTTAGATCTGAGAAAGTCAGCAAATCATTATGGTTGAAGCTGTATTTTATTAAAAAGATTTCTTTTTTTACTTCTACTCCACTACTTTGGAGTGTTTCTCGTGAACATGTCATCTACTTCCATCCTCAAGTAGTCATGTTCAACTTACCCTTTTATAGTTTGGCCTTTCAATTACTCCTCTGTCTATTTAAAAGTGCCTAATGTTCCACTTTTAAACGTTTCTTTGATTTTGTCTCATACTATAAATAGTATAAAGACGGTTATTTTATTCTTACATGCATTGTTTTACTTCTACCAATTTTTTCTATCATAGACTTGCGAGAGTTAATTATCAATAAATATACTAGTACAAGAAATGAGTAAGGGTGTATTGTGTTATTTGTGTACATGATACACTTAGTATAAACACAAACACTTTAATTTTATGGTACTAGTGTATTGGTTGAGTTTATTTACGGAGTGTGTATTTAATGCTCAAATAATGTACATTGTACTTTGTCCTATTTATTTGATTGGCTGAGAGAAAAAAACAGAAGGAAAAATAGTTCTTGATACAACACCAATAAAATTGCAAGAATACTAGCTCTTAGAATAAACTTAGTTACACTTACACATCCCATTTGTTTCACAAATATTTGTACACTTTGATGATTGACATTACTCACAAACTCCAGTGTATCTCTTTATAGAGTATGTATTTATACTTTATAGTGCATGGCTTTGTCCTCTTATATGTCATACTATGTGGCTACAATGTTAATAATAGGGAGGTGATTATGTAATTGGTTTCATATGATCCTACTAAAATCCAAAAGATGAACCTCTTATATAGAGAATGGTAGGTTAAAGAATAAGATAATTATTTAAAATTCTTCAAGATCTTTAAGATATTATAACATATTTTAGAGACATCATCACCTTATTTACATAAATTTGACAAATTTTTGTGTTTACACATCTCAACAGTAATTTTTGCAACAAACTAGAAATTATGGGGTAAAATATAATTGCTCCAATATTTACATGGATATTGTTGACAAACGCATGGGGCGTTAGATAACCATTTAATATATTTCCTAAAATGGTATTAATATAGGAATGCATGCCAAAATTACGCGTTGATCGATATGCTTAATGCTCATTTCAAATTAATATTTATACTTTTAACTATCTTATCCAACACTTTAGGGGCAGACGTTCGTTGCTTTTGTCTATTTTCATAGACACTAATAAAAATGTAACAATCTTTATGAAACAGAGGTAATTATCTACAAATACAAATAATGACATACATTTAGACAGTATCCTATATGGAACAAAGTAATGAAATAACAATTACTTAATATTAAATCACAAATTTCATTACTTTACTCACAAAAACCCAACAAAATGTCCTAGAATAAATTTAGGTAGTGTCTAAATCTTTTCGAGAGCAAAAGGCATTACAAATTTACCACTTTCAAAGTCTGAATTTCAAGAAAAGAAACCAACAAAATTTACTAAAATCCAACCCCTAGAACAGAACAATGAAACTTTTGAAAGAAACAAAAAATACATTAATTTTATTTATTTTAATTTTTAGGTAATTTTGACAAAATTCCATATAAAAAAATAGAATAAAAAATGTGGGTACTTTCTGTGGCTTGGGATTCTTCTAGTCTATCGTGCCTGCCAGCTTTACATAAACACGGGCAAAATTTAGAGAACTGTTCTCTTCTTGTTTACTGTTCAATTCGTCGGTCAGAAATTACAACGAAAATTACTCCAAATTTTAATTAGTAAACAAATTATGGAATTATACCCAAGAAATTAGATTTATTATTTAATCATTCAATTAATTAAAAAAATAGAAATTTAAAATAGAGCAGGCCATCACTGTCTGTCTGTTTAGTCTTCACTGGAAGGGAAGAAAGAGGTGGATAGAGAGAGAATTTTTGGAGAGAGAATTTTTAGAGAGAGAAAGTTAGAGAGAGAGAATTATTGAGAGATGATGATGGAGCTTTGGAGGCTCCTGATTATCAGCATTTTGGTGTTTAGTCCAAGCTTCATTAGTGGTGACACAGATCAATCTGATGGTTAGTTTTTTTTTTGTTTTTTGTTTTAAAGTTAATTTTGATTTTATCTTCTTTTTTACTTGTTTTGTTCATCTGGGTTTCTGTTAATTTTGATTTTTTAGATTGAATTGGTTTCTGGGTTTTGAAATTTTAATCGATTTTTAGCTGCTGACATTCAATTTTTTTGCGCTTTTTTATTTTTTTTGTGGGATTTAATTGTAAAGATTGATTCTTTTATTCTTTTTTTTTGGGGTTTTGATTAAAGATGTGGTTTATGCTTGCTGATGTTTGTCATGTAGATATTGGCTTGATTTTTGCATTCGGATTTTCTGGGTTTATTTTTTTATTTAATTTTTAATTTTTTTGAGGTGGGAATTTTGATGGAATGCTGATGATTGATGACACTGATTGCTACAATGAGTATGTTGATCTAGTTTATCCAAGCTGGCAAGCTATTTTACAATGAATTTGGTTTCTTTTTTTTTTTTCTATGAAAATATGAGAGGAATTTTCTGTATTTGGGTTACTGAAATTATTGGTCAAAGGGTGTTCATATGCTGATGATCATGATGATATTCTTGCTAAAACCAATGGGGTTTTCTGGGGTGTGGACAGTTGAGTTTTTCATAGATCTTTTGTGTCAATTTGCCCAGTGCAGCATTCTAGTACATGTATGGTTTGTTTCGTCGGTGGTAATGAGAATAATTTTGTATGTAAATGTGCTAGTAAAGTTATTGTTCATATGCTATTAACCCATGAAGTCATCTCCGTTGTCGGCTTGTTGCTGTGTATTACTACCTACGAAATGGGACATATGGTGGTTGTTATGAATGGAGCTATTTTTTCCCTACTTCATCACAATTGGCTTGTTTAGAGGCGTTGTTCTGAGCTTCTGCAAATAAGGATTATCAGAGTAAAGATGGTTGTTACGACGATCTTGATGGTGTTATTGATTTCAGAATCAAAAGTTATTGCAATTTTTGTTTGACTAAGTCTGACTGAAATTGCTGAAAGTTGATCAATGTGATCAATACGATGGATTAACAAAAAATAAAACCCAACTGGGGAGATATTGCCAATTCTTATTGATTAAGACATATATGTGATGTTGGTTCTCTTTTCAATTTGCAGCTTCTGCTCTTAATGTCATGTTTAGCAGCATGAATTCGCCTCCACAGCTTACGGGATGGACTGCTAGTGGTGGTGATCCATGTGGTCAGTCATGGAAGGGTGTTACTTGCTCAGGCTCAAGGGTAACACAAATGTAAGAGTCGGTTTTATGCATTGTACTGGTGTTATTACGATGTTTAATCACCTGTAAAAGCTTGTGTGTTCTAATTCTGGTATCATACAATCTTTTGTGCAGAAAAATATCAAATCTTGGACTTACTGGGTCAATAGGTTTTCAGCTTACGAGTTTGACATCTTTGACTGACTTGTAATACAATTTTTTTTTTTTTTTTTTTTTTTTTTTTTTTTTTTTTTTTTTTTTGCAGTTTAATTGTAATATCTCCTGTATCTTTATGTACATTGTCTGATGATTTTGTGATAATGTTTGCAGTGATATAAGCCATAATAATTTTGGAGGCACAGTACCTTATAACCTTCCTCCAAATTTGCAACGACTGTAAGCACTTTTGCTTCCATTGTCTCAACTCTTTTAAGAATTGAATGTCGTTACAGTAACTGCAGTTGTTTTCCTATCTCCTATTTTAATTTTCGGCTTTCTTGTTCACGGGAGTTCCAGATGATTCTTAGGCTATTGTTTTTGTGCAGAAACCTTGCTGGTTGCAATTTCAATGGTGCGGTACCTTATTCAATTTCAACTATGAAACCTTTGGTGCATCTGTAAGTTGCTTGCCCTTTGACCAATATTTCTACTTGATGTCATATTCTATGAAAGACCTGACTAAGGCTCATTTCTGTGAATGAGGATAGAGACCTCAGCCAAAATCAATTTAATGGACAGCTGAATGTCGACTTTTCACAGCTTACTTCGCTCTCCAATATGTGAGTAATCCTCTATCCTTATGTTAACCATATTTGCAGATATATTTATTTGTATTTATGGGATGAAAAGATAATTTTTCAGTGTGAAATAGTATTCAATATTGTCAATGACTTCTTTTACTTGCATGATCTATTAGTTTCCAAGTCCAAGTAGTTTCAGTTAGCTTTACGAATATTACTTTCCATTCTTTCATATTTCCGAAGATCAAACATAAAAGCTAATCTAATCTGCTGGTGAAACTACTTGAATACTTCTACTGAGACTAATCTTGTTGGAACAGAGTTATGGAGTAGTTTATAAATCACTGAATGTTTATAATTATTATTTCAGAAATCTCGCGAACAATGCTCTCACAGGCAATCTTCCACAAACAATGAGCTCGTTGACCAGTTTGAAAACCTTGTTAGTGCCTCTTCTATTTAGCTTTCTTCTGTATTAAATTCTCAATTTACTTGCCTTTGTGGACAGTGTACAGTACACACGTGCTCTATATTTGTAATATGATTGATTAACCTGCTACTATTGTGCAGGAACTTGCAAAATAACCAGTTCACAGGCACAATTGATGTCCTAGGAGATCTACCTCTGGAGAATTTGTTAGTATTCTTGTATATGAAAAATTTAAGGAGTAGAATTGCCAATACATATTTCTTGATGTTTTATTTCTTGTTTTATAGGAATATTGCGAATAACCATTTCACTGGATGGGTTCCAAGGCAGTTACAAAATATTAATATACAGTAAGAATTGATGGATACCTCATCTATGTTTCTGGTTCTTTTAAACTAAGTGGAACTTTTTGAGTCCTGCTTTTATAATGTATATTTTTTCCCTCACAGGAAAGATGGTAACTCATGGAACTCAGGGCCAGCACCCCCAGCTCCACCTGGATCGCAAACCAATCATCACAAATCTGGGAATCACGGAAAATTGTCAGAGAGTTCGAGTTCTGGGGATGGAAAATCTGGTATCAGTGCTGGTGCTATAGTTGGAATTATTCTGGCTATTGTCGTAGTTGTAGCAGTAGTAGGATTTATATTATTTAAGAGAAGAATACGGAGGCCATCCCCGGACGTAGAGAAGGTAGACATTCATAAGCCTTTTGTTGCTCCTGCTTCGAATGACGTGGAAGGTAATTCACTCTTATTGTGGTTCTTTTTCCTCTCTTAATGGATCTTGCTTCAGTGAGAGAAACATATATAATTTTAGGTTCTTTTATCATCTGGAACTATGTATTTTCTTGCCATAAAAAAGTACTCGATAAACCTTAAAAGATATTGAGGATGTTAATATGGCATATCCACCCCTTCTAGCATATGGCACTATCCTTGCGCATAAGTTCATTATGAGTTGAAACCTCAAGACCCCAACCATAGGAATGAAGATAACTGAACCTAAAAAAACAGTCTTTTGCCAGTGTGTGGTCTAGGCTTTGTACATTGGTGTCTCTTAGCTAACATTATAAATCTTATATATAATTAAATCTCACCTGGCTTGAGCACATAAACCCAAAATGACCTGGAAATAGCAAGTCTCAAGAGTCCAGGTGAGCTCTAAACATAATTCAAAATTTGTAAGCCCAATCTCCAAGTGTCAGTATAGCACATGGAGGCTTCATTGACTGGTGGCACTTCCAGAGCGGAATGAATTTGATGAAGATCAGATATGGAGTCATTTGCAATGCTAGATATGGAATCAATCAAAATGAAATCATTGCACTTGTTATATGATCCAAGCATGTCTGCATTGTGTTTTGAGATTGCTTATTTGCTGTTTGTGTTTGCTGCATCAACTTGCCTTATGCTCCTTAATTTCCTAAATCTTACTTTCGAGCTGTTTTGAATGCTAATTCATCAGGTAAACCTGAATATATGGAATTGAAGTCAGTTCATTCTTCATCGTCAATCAACACCACCACGCTTGACACAGTTACCGCAGTTCTAAAACCACCTCCATTGGATCGCAACAAATCATTTGACGATGAAGACTTTTCAAATAAACCTGTTCGCCCTATAGTAACCAAAATTCCTACACCAGTGCCCGAAAATGTAAAATCATATTCTATAGCAGACCTGCAGATGGCTACCGGAAGTTTCAGTGTTGAAAATCTTATTGGAGAGGGGTCTATTGGACGTGTATATCGTGCTCAATTTGATGATGGAAAGGTGTGTACCCTTGAATGCTTTTAATTTTTATTTTTTATTCTCCACTTTTTGTTCCCCAAATGATGGGAAGTCTGCCAATGGAAGAAATTATACTATTGCTGTTCGTGATTTGAATGGTGTGTCTCAGCCCTCGTATATAAGATAGTACTGTAAATTTATTGAAAAAAATTTGGTCTGGTGCACTAGAAGGCAAAACATAAATTTTTAACCTAAAGAAAAATTTCATGAAATGAATGGCCTAATGCTTGGACAGGTGAAAGCCTGAAAGGGACATACATTTGAAATTTTTCATCATTTTTTACATGTGAATTGTACCTATGTTGTTTGGCAACCTCCACATTCAGTGTCATTGAACTGCTGATAGTTGGTGACAAGTCATTGTGTGCTAGTTTGAAGCCTTTATGATGATTATAGTTGCTCATTGTTGGTAAATATGTTGTTTTGATAGGTTCTTGCTGTGAAAAAGATTGATTCATCTGTTCTAGCTAACCATCCTGAAGATTTCACCGAAGTTGTTGCGAGCATTTCCAAATTACATCATCCAAATGTAACTGAGCTTGTTGGCTATTGTTCTGAACATGGCCAACACTTGCTAATGTATGAATTCCACAAGAATGGCTCATTGAACGACTTCTTACATCTTGATGATGAGTACAGTAAACCATTGACATGGAATACTCGTGTCAAAATTGCTTTAGGGAGTGCACGTGCTCTTGAGTAAGTCAGCTTAGTGATTTAGTATGTGTAATTTTCATTTGTTTACTCAACTCCATTCACATTAACATATATTCCCCACTCATTGCCAGGTACCTACATGAAGTTTGCTCTCCATCTGTTGTTCATCAAAACTTTAAATCAGAGAACATATTACTTGATGTGGAGCTAAATCCTCATCTTTCTGATTGTGGGTTGGCAAACCTCCTTCCAAACGCAAACCAGGTAAGCTTTCAATATATACTCTAAGTTCTTTGCTTGAATGAGGGCCTATGAGGCATGTCCTACATTCATGGTACTCATATGACAATGTCTTTTGTTGGACATGCATCATAGTATCTTGGAGTTTGAGTAGACTGAAAGGTCCACCCTGTAATACCATAAAAGGAAGAGAAAGAAGAGGAAAAGGAGAAAAGCACTAAGTGATCACTGTCTAAGAAATTATCTTAACATTTGATCAAACTTTATACTATTTTCTTCATTTCTTTTCCCCTTCATTTTTTTTCCCTTTTTGGTGATTGTAAATTGAGAAATTTTCAGTCATTGATGCTTTGTGTTTGTAAGTTGTTTTTTTTTTTTTTTTCCAGATAACGATCCTGATTTTCTTGCAAGTAATTCATTGCTGACAACTATGTTTCATAACATGCTCAAAGACTAACGCCCTTTCTTTTGCTGTCCTCTTGCTGTTTATGCAGGCGATTAACCATAATGCTTGTGCTCCTGAAGTTGCTGATTCTGGTCAGTATACTTTGAAGAGTGATGTCTACAGTTTTGGCGTGGTTATGTTAGAGCTTCTCAGTGGACGAAAACCATTTGATAGGTAATGTTGTGTCATCAGTACCGAATGAGGACACAGCCAGAATTTAATAAGGTGATTTTCTGAATAAATCTATTTTGTATTCAGCTCGTTGCCGAGGGCTGAGCAATCATTGGTTCGGTGGGCTACACCTCAGCTTCATGACATTGATGCTTTGACTAAAATGGTGGATCCTGCTCTAGAAGGCCTCTACCCTGTGAAATCTTTGTCGCGATTTGCTGATGTCATTGCCCTTTGTGTTCAGGTATTGTTGACTGCCTTTTCTTGGTTTGTATCACACCTTGGTTTGTTTTCTTGAATTACATGCTGTTACTTCAGATGCTAGAACTTATATGCTGATCCCGGCAAAAACCTGAAACTTTGTGGGGGTGATAGCACTTCATATATTGTTTGGTTGTATGTGTGGTCTTGTGCACTGAAGATATCATATAGATGAACAAGAGAATCTCATAATACTAGCTAATTATTGAATAACCACAACCAGGTCCATCAGATTAGTATACAAGAATGTCACAACCCATTTGGTAGATTAATGTTGTGTATGTTTACACACAATTTCCAAGTGGATGTCTTGGGAGATGTATCTCCACCTCCAAGTATATGATTTCCTTCTTTAATTCAGTACCGCTCATTTGCATCTCTAGAGGTGGTGATCAGTGGTAATAAAGGTCAAAGAACAAAAATGCATGTTTTGTAAACTGTGGGTACTTGTGTAGGTGCGTTTAAGACTTGCAGTAAGCGTCTACATGGAAATATGGAATTTTGCATGTAAATTTACCCACCCAGTGTAGTAACCTCAGTTTATGATCTTGTATCAACTCGTCCAGTTGTCCATTAGATCCTTAGAGCCTTCACTCACCTATGAATTTTGGAATGTTGGAAGCTTTTACTTTCTGAAACATAAGATGTAGATTTTCATTTAGACACTTGTTTGTTCTGCGTAGTATTCTATACATATCTAGGTTCTGCTAGGTTTGTGTCTAAAACATACTGAAACATTCTTTTGTGAACAGCCTGAGCCCGAGTTCCGGCCACCAATGTCAGAGGTGGTGCAAGCTTTGGTTAGATTGGTTCAGCGAGCAAACATGAGCAAAAGAACTGTTGGAAATGCTGCTCGACAATCAGAAAGCACAGACACAAATGATAGTGTTAATTAAATGGATGTATAATAATTTTGTTCATTTGATCCTCCGCCTGACCAAAGTAAAGTTATTTATTTCTCCTTCACCTCATAATTTTTCTCCTCCACGACCTGGTTTCTTCTGCATTCACAAAAGTTTCAGTTCAGGGTACGAATGCTGTCATTTATTCTTTTCTTTTCCTTTTATATATGTTCATTTTCCGTATCACCTTATTGTAAGATATAATGTATTGAAGGTGAAAAAAGATTAATACTTCATATGTTTTCATGTGGTGCATCCATCGCATGGGCTTTGTATTCTTCCTTCCCTAGTTCCCCTGGGATGGTAGGGGAAAAAAATTGTACGTAGTATATCATATTGAGAGTTGAAAATTCTCAAAATTTTGTCAAAACAAGTTCAGAAATGTTACAACAAAGAACATTAAAGGATCCAACTTTGGCTAATTCAGAGACACTAACTTGACAAAACTGACCCAATTCCGATTGTACCTCATTACGATTATTGAACTGTACTTGTAACACTTGGCCGAATAATGACTTGAATAGGTTTATGAAATGACCTGAAAATAATCATCAATCAGCTAATTGGTAAGACTCAAATATGACCCAACTTACTTAATTATGAAAACTGGATATTTGGACTAAATTATGTCGAACAATGATTTGTTCACTAAAGCCCTGTTTGTCTATTGTCACTTCCAAAAGCTCTAATTGACACTAATTCAAAGACACATTGTTTATTACTCGTATTAGTTGAACATGAGAAGAACCCTTTCTCCTAAAGAATGCTCACTCGGTTTATATTGACTAATTTAAGATAAAATAGGATTAATTTAATTGAGTTTTAAAAATTGACGACAAAATATATTCATATCACACAATGTACCACAAGAATTTTCGAATAATTTTAAAACCAAACAATTTTTACTCAAGACTCTTACCCCGTAATTTTTTTCCGACAAAATAAGTTCCAATAGTTTCAATACAGTTGAAATAAACACAAAATAGAAGTGAACTTCAAGACAAAACTATAAACACAAAAAAACACAATTACTACATAATTTGGGCAAAGACGAGTAGCAGAGCAAAAATGGCGGGTACTGAGAAGAAGCTCTTAACAGAACTCCATGAATCTGGCATTTATGATTTCCCTAATTCACTCACATTCTTCATTGATCCTGTTCGAATTCTCAATCGTAACTACACTCAATTTAGGGTTTCCCCTTCTTCCTATTATTCTCGCTTCTTTACTTCCAATTTCACCATTGATGAACTACCAGAACACAAACAAGAAAATGAAGAGAGTTTTAGGGTTTCTGCAAGTTTAGGTAAGAGAAAACGAAACCAAAAAAAGAAGAAAAATCAGCAATGTTATTCTCTTAATGAGAAGGAATTACTCGCCGATCAAAGACACCAGGTACAATTTCAATTTCAATTTAATTTTTAGGGTTTATGTTTTACTTCATTTGTTGTTAATTTTGTGCAAGTTTTGATTTTTTTTTTCTGGGGTTGATTTGTTTGAAGGAAATTAGGCCTTTATTAGTGAAGGCACATGAAGAATTGCTAAGAGCTAAGGAACTGTTAGATGTAATTTGTGAGCTTAATTGTGAAATTGATGGTTGGGAACGTTGTGTTGATTTGAATTCTGGTGGAATTAATGAAGAAGATGAAATTTCGTTTATTGAGCTTGGAAAAGTTTGGCAAGCTCCCTTGTATGAAATTGCTCTTGATTATACTCAAGCTAGCAAACAGGTCCAAGTAAATGGAGGTTAGTTTGTGTTGATTTCACGATATTTAATTCGTCTAGGTTTGTTTGTTGTGTTGCTATTGGTTTCAAGTTTTCAACTGTTTCGATTCGAAGATTTCTCTTTTGTGTAGGACTAGGATTATTGTTGTTTTGTTGTCTTTTTAGAGGTGGAAAGAATTTGTTGCAAATGAAGATATGATTGCTTTGAGGGGTTCCCTAATGCGTTTCGTTGTCGTGCTTTCGAGTTTTGATGAATTGGCTTGTAGTTGAGTTGAGTAAAATTTGTGGCTATATAATTACTGCAAATGTGCCTTTTATAGTATGTCTATACATGAATCTATCATCTAAGCCTTCACTAACATCTGAAAGTATAGGGTAACAAGTTCCTTGCCATTAGTTAAACATTATTTCACTGTGTTCTAATCTTTTTTCAACTATATTTTCACCCATTTGTTCCTTTGTTGAATATTATGATTTAAGGATATCCAATACATTTCTTTTCAGTTCTATTTGTCACTATGCTTCTATCTCTTATTAAGGAGTTTCCTAGTTATCATGCATCAATGTATACATAATTATGATGATTCTTAGGCTTCCATTCTCTGTTGGACACACAGGTTCCCTTGACACTCAGCACATTGATCAAAGGTTACTCCCGTTATTCAATAACTTAGTCTCAAATGAGACAAACTATGATATGGTGGCAGAATTTCAGACAAGTCAGTACATTTTACCAAAAGATAGCTGCTTCTACATGGTATACTGTTTGCCTTTGCTTAATGGTTTGTGTTAATCCATAGCTCTCTATTAGCTATCATAAAAAATGCAACTTAGCTTTTATCGGACTTTACTTTAAGCATCACCATCATTGTTCTTATTTCTTACACAACCTTTTGTTTTTTTTTTATTTTTCTTATGTCCATTTCATAGTCTGAACTGGAGCAGATTCACACCTTAGTTCCTGGTAATGGTTTTTATGATATTTCTTCACAGCACATTGCTCCTTCATGCTTCCTAGTTCTAGGCTACCAAATATTGATGGTTCATTAGGATCCTTCATTAAGCTATTTTCATAAACAAGTCTACTTTTCTCACTTAGTAAGCAGAGGTAATGATGCAACTTGTAAGTCATACCTAAAAGCTTATCACTTTATCTCTAAGTTTATCACACTTGTTTGTATCTGTGCCTTATTCTTCATCATTGATGTAGATAGGGGTTAGACAGTTAGTCTCTGTCTGCTGGTCTAAAATTTTGGACTGAGATGTTTTTTCTTATCATTGCAGCTAACTTGGAATGTGGGTTTAATTTTATAATGGTTGATCCACCATGGGAAAACAGAAGTGCATATCAGAAGTCAAAGTATGTACTGCTAATTATTTTATTTTACTTTTCGCTACTGCAATCGATCAAAGCCTTAATCCCGTAATTGGGGTCGGCTACATGAACCAAAAGTGATTATTCCGTGTAGTCATTGACAAAAATCTTATCCCTCCACCCTTTACGATCCAATACCTCATCATCATGCAAATCCATATACTTCATATCCCTCCTAACTCCTTCCAACCAAGTCATTTTCGCTATAGCACTATTCTACGAATGCTTGTTGAAAGAACCTAAGAAACCTTTTCCCCTGCTAGTTGAAGCCTTACTCTAGGGGTTCATCTAAGAGAATTTATAATGTTAATCAATGATTCAATGAGCTTTCTATTGTTTTTGACATCAGTCAGTACAATTACTATGACTTAAATCCCTTATTTTTCAATATTATCCTCAGCTAAGTGAATCATTATGGCTCTTTGTTAGGTACCCTACTTTGCCAAACCGGCACTTTTTGTCACTTCCGATCAAGCAACTTACCCATACAAGTGGAGCACTCGTAGCTTTATGGGTGACAAACAGGGAGAAATTGCGGAAGTTTGTTGAAAATGAACTGTTTCCTGCATGGGGAGTCAGATATGCAGCTACATTATATTGGTTAAAAGTACGTCATACTACTTTTGGTATTTCCATTTGTACTCCATAACAGTAAAAAGAAAAATAAAAAAGGGTAGTTAGGGATGCTAGTTTCTAGATTTACACGACTTGTTGAATAAGAACTGGAAGTCTTATAGATGCTACTTCATGCTGGAAATTATGTGCGTGTAAAATTGTGTCTGATTTTGCAGGTGAAAGCTGATGGGTCTTTGATTTGTGACCTAGACCTCTTTCATCACCGGCCTTATGAATGCCTTCTTCTTGGATACACTGGAAAACCTGTAGGTTTTTCTGTGACTTCAACTTTTATTGATTTGATACATAAATTATCTAAAGAATGTAATGCAGGTAACAGATTCTGAGCTAACAGCCACAGCAAAGTCTTTAAAAGATCAAGTAGTGATGACCATTCCAGGGGACTACTCAAGAAAGCCCCCAGTAGGAGGTATATCCATCCTCCTCTTCGCAGCTAGTACAGAGAATCTTCTCGGTAATATTTTATTGGTTGAAAAAATAATCTATTCAACTAAATATATAAATATATTTATAAATGGATTCAGTGCTCCTTGAAATGACTTTTGAGTTTGCTGGTCATCATTTATTTCTATCCTCTCAATAGTTTCAGCTAAAAACTCTCTGCGAACTCTTTTTGTAGAAATATCAGATGCACTGCTGTGACACAAATAAGCTTCCCCGTAACAAATAGAATCATCCATCCTCTCATTCTGGCTCTTCATCTTCTTGATAATATATGGGTTACTTGTAAATGAACGTGTGATTTAGTTTGTTCTTGCCATTGTCAGATTTGCTCCTGGAGTATGTGCCAGGACCCAGACCTGCTCGTTGCATTGAGCTGTTTGCCAGAGAAATGATGGCTGGATGGACATCTTGGGGAAATGAACCTCTTCACTTTCAAGACAGGAGATATTTTTCAAGGAAGATAACTGAAAACTGCACTAATTACAGAGAACTTTAAACTAATGTAATGTGCTATGTTGCTTAAACATATTCAAAGACTATACAGCTTTTGATACAAATTGAGGTGAGGAATCTGAGGATCAATTGTTCTGAATAGCTCTTCAACAGCAAAGGAATTGCAAATTATGCAGCACCCCAGGACAAGGGATGACAGATATCTCGACAAAGAATGGACAAGATGAAAGCCATCTGTTAACTTCTGCGTATCAGATGTATAGCTATGTTGCTGCTACAGTTATGCTTTCGCATTGTAAAATTTCTGTGGTTCACACTCCCTACTCAATTCAGAACCAGGAGCTGAGCTCTTTGTCAGTTAAATATTCATCATTTATGATATCAATCAGTTCGTACTTTGATATTTTATTGTACGAGTCACTGTTTCCACATAGACATTTGGAAGTTGAAACCACAGCATGTCAAGTTTTATTGAAAGGCTCTCATTCATGAGTTACGGAGTATAATGTTTAAAACGGGGTTTACTAAAATGATTTCCATCTTGACATTGTCAAATGATGCTAATGAAATAAATGTGTTGGTGAGCGCTTTGTTTCTTAAGATTTCTAAAGGATTGTTCCAAAAAAGGCTAACCTGGAGCAACTAACTTGGATTTATGTTATTAATAATTTCAAGGTTCAATAATTTGACATAGCCTTATTCTGGATTCAAACTTCGAATCCTAGCAACAGTTCTACTTTTGCTGATAGTTTCCTGTAATATAATGTCTAAAGGCAGTTCCAAGCTCGCTTTTTAGTCTATGCTGTGATAGTTCAACATCTATTAATCTGACCTGAATGCTTGGTTAATCAAGCAAAAATCTGTAGATTAAAATTTCATTTTGTTGAAGCTACTTAATCCAATATCCTGTATTCAAAGCTTGGGATTTAGTATTACATATTGGGTATACTGCATATAACAAGTTTACTTGCTGCAACATAATCCTGTCTATGAAGACTCCTTTTTATGGTCCAAAAAAGGACCACTTTAATTGAGTTTTAAAGCATGAATGCGACAAAAATGACTGATAACACGCCAGATGCTGGACCAAAGGGTCAAAAATGACATTTCAGAAATAAATTCTTAGAATAACACTACAAGATCCAAGCATTTCGGTTGAAATCCATTTCTAGTTGTGACACAAAAGACTGGTCATTTAGAAATCCCATAAAATACATATTTAGCAAACTTGAAAACCAGTCTGGCAATAAAAGTCTCAATTCGACTACAAAACCATCTGCCAAATCTAAAATTTGTTTTAAAGCTTTATAAATAAATGGGACTTCCTGACCAATACTATAATTCAGATTCCTTTGTGAAAGATCTGTCATTGAGTTGCACATGTAGCCAGTCAGTGTGAATGTCCGGTCGATAGCACAAGACATGGTCAACCAAAGCATTGATTTCATACTTTGCAGCTTTGTTCTTCGAGCAACAACAGCCCTTTAATTGTAGACCATATACTTGGGGGTTGCACTGAACTTCTGGTAACCCTTTATGACCTTGTTCACAGCATCAAGGAAATCTTTCTCCGTCACTGTCTTCCTCCGAGCTCGAATTGCATACATTCCAGCTTCAGTGCACACACTCCTTATGTCAGCACCTGCAGCAGTTTTTGTTAGATTGACATTTTCCTTGACATGATACACAAGACAACTCTCTTTCCAGGAAAAACCAACTTTATATGGGTTAGGGTTTTTAATTCATTCAGGAACTTACAAGCATTAAACAGAAAGATATTTGCACATATAGGTTAAGATTGTCACCTGTAGAGTTTGGGCAAAGGCGGGCAAGAAGCTCAAATCGGATATCCCTTTCACAGTTCATGGTCCTGGTATGGATCTTGAAGATTTGTGTCCTACCCTCCAGATCTGGAAGGCCAAACTCAACCTTCCTGTCTAATCGACCAGGACGCAATAGAGCTGGGTCAAGAGTGTCAGGTCTGGGACAAGATAGCAATGTGAGAATTATCACTAAAAAAGAAAGGATGATAAAGAGATGCCATCTTGCCTTACAAGAACAGAGTTTACCTGTTTGTGGCCATAAGAACCTTGATGTTTCCACGAGCATCAAATCCATCAAGTTGATTTACGATTTCAAGCATAGTACGCTGAACCTCGTTGTCTCCTCCAACACCATCATCAAAACGTGCACCTCCAATAGCATCAACTTCATCAAAGAAAACAATACATGCCTTCTTTGATCTTGCCATCTGAGCACACAGGCATCATATATACTTAGCACAGGAAAGGAAGCACTCAGAAAAACCAGAACAGTAGAACCTCTAAAAAACATACCTGAAATAGCTCACGAACCATTCGGGCACCCTCACCAACATACTTTTGGACAAGCTCACTCCCAATAACACGAATGAAGCATGCATCAGTTCGATTAGCAACAGCTCTGGCCAAAAGTGTTTTTCCAGTACCAGGAGGACCATAGCATAAGACACCCTTAGGAGGATCTATTCCAAGCTTAACGAATTTCTCTGGGTGAAGCATGGGTAATTCAACAACCTACAACCAAAACATAAAAAGAGGTTTAGTTACATCTCAAAAGAACGACTTCAAAAAACAGCAAGACACCTGATTTCAGAAACAAGACAAGACTCTTCTTGTTTTACAACGAATACTAAACTATGCAGCAACTTCAAAAGCTAGCAAAACAAACTCACTTCTCGCATCTTTTCAATTTGCTCTTTGCATCCACCAACATCATTATATGTCACATCTGGCTTCTCCTCTACAGTCATCATGGTCACACTGGGATCAATCTTTGGTGGCAAAGGAATCTGGATCTGGTACTTGTTTCTATCAACACTGTAACAAGCATGATATAGAAATATAAATTATGTAAGCCAAAGGATCAGACTAAACATATTAAGTATCAAATTCAGGGAAACAAAAAGTAGTAAAGGAGTAGCCTAGGGTAAAACAGCGTGTCTAATCTGCTGAAGAGACATCACAGAACAACAAGCCATCTCAAGTTTGAAAGCAATAAATGCAGCGTAAGACATGTCAAATTCCTATGTAAATCTAATAGATCATAGAACATAGTGCGGGTTAAACCTAATATACCAAATTTTGAAATCATATTTTGAAGTCATTACAAAAATCACATCTCCAACAAATTGGATAAAGCAAATCAAAATCTATCCACGAAATACACTTCTACCAAAATTTTGAAACCGCATCCACAATTAACACTCACGGAAATCAAATGGCTAAGTTAAGCAGTGAAGACCATTGAACAATTGCCAAAAGGCCTAAAAGAGCCTCTCAGCCTGCATAGTGACCTACGTGGGCACATTTATATCAAACAGGAATAATTGGAAAATCCTCATAAATTCATCTGCTGAAGTTCTGAATAGCTGGGATATCCAGTTACCTAACTTTAGGCTCCACATAGGCACATACCAGTATACTACTAGTAAAAAAGAAAATTACCACTCATATAGCAGTGAAGACCATTGAACAATTGCCAAAAGGCCTAAAAGAGCCTCTCAGCCTGCATAGTGACCTACATGGGCACATTTATATCAAACAGGAATAATTGGAAAATCCTCATAAATTCATCTGCTGAAGTTCTGAATAGCTGGGATATCCAGTTACCTAACTTTAGGCTCCACATAGGCACATACCAGTATACTACTAGTAAAAAAGAAAATTACCACTCATATACCGTATAGCAATGAATTTCAGGTATACTGTTGAATTTTACTAAATCAAATTCACTTTTGTAAGATGCATCATGTCGAAAACACATTTTAAAATGTTGATCAAAGTATTACAACAATAATTGAAAAAACCAACATACCCAACACGCATGCCTTCTTCAATATCTGTTGGAGAAACTTTATCTCCCAGTCCAACAACAAACTGAAATTTTGAAATAAAAACAAATATTAGAAAGAAAATTGTAATTACAGAAAGGAAGTAACCACGCATATAGACGTCTATGTGCACAAGTGTACAACCCATACAAATATATCCAGAAAGAAACTATTTCTTAAAAAAAATAAAAATTTGCAACTAATACTCTAGCAAACAAGACATCTCTTTGGAATATTCTAAAGAACACCAAAAGCCCGACACCAACTGCGAGAAGATGGAATATAGCACAGACAATTACTGCAAGTCTATCATTAAAAAGAGAATCACAACATAAAATAGTTTTTACAAAAAAAGTAAAAATAAAAAAGTGCTAAAAAGAAAAGAGGAAAAAGGAAGGAAAAGAAATTAGGGAAATGGTAAGCTTGAGTACCTTTGCAATTTGCTTCACATTGATCACATACTTTGCATCTTCAGTGTTTGGATTGATTATCTTGGTGCATCTTGCAACCTGCTCAACAATAAAGGTATTTACCATAAATATTCAGAACTTAAAAGAGTATAAAAAAAAAAAAAAAAAAGAAATTGTAGAAAAACTACACATAGCAAGTACCTGGAGTGGTTGCTCCTCCTGCATCATTTGCTTGTCAGAGACGAGATCCCACTGGCTAGGAGCTGCCAATCCAGTATCAGATTCCTTGATACCTGTTACAAAGTAAAGATCATTAATTTAAATGAGAAACACTAGCAATCTAGCATAATGCAATCTCCAACAAAACTTAACTCAAACAGTAACTGAACCACATAAAGAAAACATCACTCATTAGTAAACAAACATGAACACATCATTTATCAATTCAGACTTTCAGAGACATGAGTATTATTAAAATTGCTCACAAGTGTAGGGCGCCCTGACAGCCATTTAACTAGAAAATACATAAGACCACAGGAAATTTCCGTAAATTAGGCCCAAAAGGTTGTCAGAATTGTCATAGCTTTACTTATTAGGATTTAGGAATCTCCTAAGCTGTTTGAACATCATTAGGACATAAAAAATGGAAAATCTCCTTCCACTGATATCGAATTAATCCAAAACAAACTCATAAAGGCTAATCAAATTCAAATTAGGGGCAACTTGCCAACAAACACACGGTACCCTTCAAATATTAATAATATGTTAATATCATTTCAACATTGGCTGCAGATTAATATAATGATCCAGATCAGGAGGCAAATAAAGGGGCAATAGTAATAGTTCAATCAACTATCCATACCAGTAACTAATAGAATTTTGCAAAACACATCTTCTTGAAGCAAAAAACAAAATAAGAACTTTGCATATCCTTCACAATCTGAAAAGGTGTATAGTGCAACAAAACAAGGAAGACGATAATCTAACTGAGACATTATCTTGTACTAATAAACTGTCTCAAGGTTAAAGGATTAATATTATACCAGCATTCTACCCCCAAGACTGATACAAAAAGATAATCTTTTCTAAGTCGATTAGTTTAGAGAGGAAAATTTAGTCGATGAATTCAATG